ACTGATATTTTGATTAGTTTTGACAAGGATGAGGTGCTAGGAGTTGGGGGAAAGGGTTGATCCATCTTCGATGGAGATGATGATTTTTATCTACTGAACAAAAACAATAGTAATATGATAAGTAGTAGCCCTGTTTTTAGGAGTGACCTCGTGGTCTGGGGATACAGAGACCCAGCCATGAGCTCACTAATTTCGCATGTAATTCAGTTAATTTGAGCGTTCTGGTCGAAGCCGGAGAACAGTAACGTTTTTGTCAGCCTGATGTAAGAAAGACCACCGAAAAGTACTGGCTTGGTAGAGACGGTGAAAAACATGCAAAGCTCTGTTTAGACGCTAGCCAGTCGTCTTAAGACTTAGTTTTGTTATCCGTCGATATGTATCTTCCGGGCGAATGTTACAAATCCGGAGAACATTCAAATTATGGTTCCCTCAAACGACCCAAAATTAGGTGAGTAAGCCAATAAAATCAAGCTGAAATCATTTAGGTCGAAAAGATTTTTAAGCTAGAAAAAAAGGCAAATGTTCGAAAAATTGCAGGAGTGAAGAAAAACAGCATTGCAAACCGAGGCCATTTGATCGAAAAAACATTTAACACAGAGGCGAAGCTTAGCAACAGTTGCGATACAACAAAAACAGTGCGTTTCAAGATCTTGAAAAAAAAGACATAGAAGAAAAAGACTGAAAAATTCAATTAATAATAATAATAATAATGAAGGATTTAGGATAAGTTCCAGGGGAATTGCTTCCCTGTCACTTTCAGTTTATTGAGTCTCATAGAAATTCAGTTTTGCAGTATTGATGCAGTTTGTGCAGTCGCAGCATAATCTCCAGGTGCAGGTGAGGTTTTCGTTGAATTTCGCATTGAAGTAGCGCCAGTAGATAGTTGTCAGTTCTTCTTTGCATTGCGTTGATTTGATGACATCTTGGTTGAGATGCCTATTAAATATATTTGAAAGTGAACATGCTCGTTGCCAAAAATCAGATTCGCATTTTTCAGTCGGAAGCATTTGCTGGTATAAAAGGGTATTGCGTGAGATCTTGTTATGCCTGTATCAATAATCTGTACATACTTCTCCCAATCAATGTCAGTTTTCGAGTTGATAATCCTAGCAAAAAGTAAAACAACATGCATTTCATGATATACGGACAGTGGTAGTAAGTGAAGTCTTTGAAGACGCGATTTATATGAAAGCTTGTTTGTGCCTAATAAACAGATATTTGCTCGATGTTGAACCTTCTCAGTGAGTGCCAGTTCAGACTTAGATGGTTTCCAAAGAGACGATGCATAGCTGATTATTGGCACTACATATCCTCTGTATGCATTCTTCTTAGTGCTTATGGTCGAGCTATTGTCTAGGTTTCTTTATAAAGAGAAGAAAGCTTTTAGCGATTTAGCGGATCTAGTTTTAGCGTGTTCCGTCCAAGACAGGTTGTTTGGGACTATAAGTCCAAGATCTTTCATAAGATCCGTTCCTGGTATATTCTGTTTTTTCATGCAAACAGACACACTGCCTTTAAACTGAAGGGTTTTGCATTTACTTAGGTTCAAACACATAAAATTCTTGGAGCACCAGTTCCAAATTTTATTCGAGTCGATATTCAGGGTTATTGCGTTATCTGAGACAATTTTATAGTAGTCAGCATTAGCCGAAGCAGTTGGACATGGCCACCGTTGGCAGGTCATTTATGTACAAAATAAACATGAGTGGGCCAAGTATTGATCCCTGCGGAACCCCACTTGTTATTGGCTGTAATTTTGAGATGCAATGCCCGATTCGCACCTGCTGGTATCTATCACTGAGATAATTTTTCAGTAGACCAAGGCACGCGCCACTGAAGCCGGTATGAGAAAGCTTTTCAATTAGTTTCAGGAGGTTGACTTTATCAAACGCCTTTTCAAAATCGAGATACAGGGATGAAAGGTTATTTACATTCTTGTTGTCGTACATTAGATAGATTTCGTGGAGATAGAGTATGATGTTAGTAATGGTTGAGCGTTTCAATCAGAAACCATGTTGTGATTTATGCAGCAGTTTTTGCACCTTCGAGTACATTTTATCAAACATCAGTTTTTCTAATACCTTCGATGTAGCATTCACAAGACTGATTGACCTAAAATTGGAGACTACCTGTTTGTTATTTTCCTTGTGGATAGGCACTATTTCACTTACTTTCGAAGTAGATAGGAATTGCTGCTTGTTCGCAATCGTATTGAAAAGTAACATTAATGATTTTGAGATGGAGCTCCAGAGCTGTTTAAAGAGCAGGTTTCCCATTCTATCAGGTCCTTATGACTGGTTTATGTTAAGATTTTTTAAAATGTCTTCTATTTCGATGATATTAAAATGAAAATGATTTAGGAGGGTCGCATTATCACTGTCTAGGTTTGAATCATATGGAATGTTGCTGTAGACGGAATGGAAATACCTGTTGAAAAGTTCAGCTTTATCTTGGTCGGAGCGAGCTTTTTCACCATCAAGATACATTTCACTAGGCACAGTAATAGAACGCCGAACGTTACGCAGATATTTTTGAAGTTTATCAAACCGCCCTTCTTTGAAAAGTTCTCTCTCATGGTTTTGCTGATCCATCAGAAGAGCATAGGCCAGGTTTGTTTGCGATTTTTCCAACTTCCTGAGGTTAGCTTCGCTCGGCTTTTTAGTATAATTATTAGTTAATGTAGCTCGGATTTTAATAAGATTAGAGGTCGAGGGGGTTACCCAAGGCGCCAGGGACAGCCGATGTTTAGTTTGCAAGTGAATGTGCTTTATTAGAAAACTATAAATCCACTGGTACCACAGTTTAGTCATAACATCGACATTGCTGTAGCAGTATGGCATGAAAGGCTCCTCAGCTATTTGATCGTTTATGGCTCTCCAGTCGGCTTTTGTATAAGCAAACTTTGCAAAGTCGAGTTCAATTTCATGTGGTCTGTCGCGACGGAACGATTCGTTAGACTGAAATTGAATCCTTGCCTTGTAAGGCAAGTGATCGCTGGCTAAGTGGCTTTTCAGAAAGTTATCAATGCAAACATCAGAAAGGATATCCCCATTATTGCATAAGATCACGTCCAGTAAGTATTTTCTATGGTCGATTTTAATCGCTTGTTCATAGTTAAAGCTGCAGAGAGCATCCAATACCACCTGTTCATTCTCAGCTCTGGATGTCATTGTAGACCAGTCAATTAGTGCAAAATTAAAGTCTCCTAATAATATCACATTTCGAACTGAGTTTTCTTGTTGCACATATCTGATATGGTTTAGAAGTATCATCAGTTTATTTGCTGACCAGCAGTAGGAACTGTTTGACGGTGCGCTATATATGCAGCAGAGTAACAAGGGAATTTTGAAGTGAAGTATAGTGATTACACAGTCTGGTGAGTCAAACATGATTCTCGTGTGGGGTATATTCTTTTTCACTCCAATGAGGACTCCTCCATGCTTGGTATTACCATTTTAACTGGGACGGTCATTTTTATGTATATCAAACTTCGGCAGAAAGAGCGCTTCATTGTCTAAATTTTCGGTGAGCCAGGTTTCCGTAAAGCACACTATATCATAGTTATCATTAACTTGTAGACTATTTGATAGGTCAGCTCTTCTGTTGTAGTCTAGGATGCTTCGTACATTGAATAAAAGAACAGTTGCGTAGTGGTTTATTCAATCATTAGCCTCCTTTGGGTCCTCATAGACAACCCATTTGTTGTCTTGTCGTATTAACAGTTTCCCATCGAGGATCCTGAGGTCTTTTTTGTCGATTTCTTCGTTAATAAGTTCGCGACGTTTTTGTAGCGCCTCATTTTCTAGTGTTGCTTCCTCTCGTGATAGCTCACGACTGAGATAGACTGGCATATCGTACATTTTTAGTTTGTTTGCCGAGGAAAGAATAAGCCGGCGCTGCCAAGGATTGGACGATTTGACTAGGATTGTTCGGGTTTTCGTATCGTTTCGTGGTCCAAGTCTCAGTAAATCGTTGATGTTGCAGTTAACTTCAATGTGGGCAAATACCTGCTGGATTTCTGCAAGGTCGTGTTCCTGACGCTTTCTAGGATCTCTGTCGTCTGATTCTTTGATTCCTCGCACTCGTATTCCCTCAGGGACCATTGTTGCTTCAGGTGTTTTGCGAATGGTTGCTGCTGGTTGATTTACTTGCGTTGTTTTAGGTGGATCAGATTTTTCGATCATTGCAGTTTTGATTTCGAGAAGAGAATTTTTGAGTTCAATCATTTCTTTCTCAATGTTCTTAATTTGACTTTGATTGGTTTCACTTACCTCCATTTTTGCAATGAGAGAAATGATTTCATCGCGTTTGTTTTGCTCCACAAAGTCATTGCACAATAGCATTACATTTGTCTTCAATTCAGTTATTCCAGCTATTGCTGTTGCACTCAGATTGGTACATTTTGCGGTTAGGTGAATTTTGCAAGAGCAAGCTATACAGATGAAAAGTGGGTAACGTGCACGCACTGGTCCTTTACATATTTTGCAGGCTTCATCGGAAGCCGAAGTTACTCGGGAACGAGTAGCAACTTTCGCTTTATCGACCATTACAACGACTGGGAGAATAGATAGGTAAACCTATGGTTCCCGAAAGGGGAGTCCTGCGGTTTACTGTTTCTACTCTGAGGCTGGGAACAGATATGTAAACCTATGGTTCCCGAGAGGGGAGACCAGCAGTTCAGTTTCTATTCAACGAGAAAAACTTAATTAATAGGTGCAGTTGCAATTCCGAAATCGACACTCAAATGTTGCTAGGTGACCTTCTCTATTGCACTAGTCTGAGTATTTTGTGTAAGATCGTATTTACCCTTTTCCGGCAAGAAGTCGATCACATTTCCAATCCGAGCTCCAGGTGGAGACAAAATGTTGAAATTCGGAAAAATTAGATTCCTTACTTGAGAGTCTGCAATCAGCAGGTTTCTAGATGAAGACGTTCTGAATTGATGATAACGTCTATACATTTACACGGAGCAACCACGGCTACTCCGGAGAAACATTAACCTATTTAATAAGTTTATCACAACAATTGAAAAATTACATGAAAAAAGTCCGAATAAAACTTCATTCATGTTTGTTTTGAACGCTGTACAAAAACCTTCATGTTTAAACAACCTTAAAAGAATTAAGAACCATTTACTGATGTGAAAATGTTCACGGCCGATCCATAATTAAATCGGAAGAAAAGTCCATGTTTTAGAAAGTAAACAAACAAAAAAATAAGAATACAAACGATAGTCCGACAATTCAATTTGTCCCATACTCAGAAAAATGTTTTGGACAGGATTTAAACTGCAGACCTTAAGGGGACTAGAATCCTGGAAGCTCAGAACTGTTTCTTATCGCAACCTTTTTAATTGCCCAATTTATTATTTACCGGAGTGTACAAATGAGCCACAAAAATTTCATAGTTTATTTTCCATACTAGAACTTAATTTTCAAAAGCAAAAAATAATGTTCATCAGATGCTTTTTTCCTGAAACTGAACAAGACAAGAGAAAAAACTCAGTAATATCATAATTAGATAAGTTATTCTTCAACTGAAAATTACCGATTTTTTCAATAAAACTTTAAAACAAAACAATAAAAACACTGCAGCTAATGTTAGCTTCTGCCAGTTTGCAGATGCTATTGGCGCTTTTATTGTATTTGATGTGACTCGGCTAAAAACAATTGAAGCAGTGAGCAAGTGGAAGTACAACTTGGACAGCAAAATGTACCTACCAGACAACTCTGCAATACCCGCAGTACTCCTAGCCAACAAATGCGACCAGACCAAAGAAGAATTGGTGATAAACTTTGAAAACCTCATAATGTTTCTTGTTGATTCTATCCATTCTGCGAAAAAAATTCATATAATAGTACTATGCAGATCCTTACGTGATGTTCACCAAAATGAAAATGTAACGTGATTAGTAGTAGTATGTAGCATAGGCTTTAGGACAATTGTCCAAGGGTTTTCACACCTCAGTTTTCATCAGGCAAAAAATTTGAGTTTTTTTAGGGTGTTGCAGGTTCCACAAGTGCATGGCACTCGCCATGTGCATGAGTTAACCTTGTTGGCTTTTCTCGGAAGAACATTTGATATCGCTTTGTGATTGTAATTTTGTCGATTACCCCATCTGTTTTTACACTCATCTTTACTTTGTTTAGTAGTTTGGGCGCGCAGATCCAAAAGTTTTCGACGCATTTTCTTAAGCGAGGTCCGGACACGCTGAACTCAGTTTGTTGTCGTGTTGAACCTCCACGACTGGATATTGCAGATATATCATCAGAATCTTAGTTTCCTTGAAGCAATAAAATCAAGTACAGCTCATCATGCAGTTCCATTAACATAGATAGCTGGTGGATTTTCGTATGGAGCATCTCTCTTTGTGGTCGGTGCAGCTGTTGCATACCCACATAGTCGCTTTCTTTCTGAACTTTTTCGATCTTTTAATAGCGTTCTCTGAGGAGTACCACGCCTGTGAAGCATATGTTAGTAGTAGTAGTAGTAGTAGTAGTAGTAGTAGTAGTAGTAGGGCTTTTGTGCTCGTAGCACAAGGGGTTTCCCCCTGTCAGTTTTTCGTTCTATAGTGAAGTTTTACTTCTACAGTCATTCATTGTGCAATCGCAAGCAATTCTCCATGTGCACTTGTTCATTTGTTCGTAGTCCTTCTCAAATTTTCTCCAAAATAACCGCAATATTGGCTTCTTCAGTCTGCTTGTTTCTCTCACGTCAATTTTGATCACATTCGCTAGCCGACTTGTTTGGTAAAAGAATTCGTCCTCCAAAAATTTCTTTTTCGGCCTCTCGAGCTGAAACATACAACCGCGCGAGGAACAGGAATACGATGGAACATTCAACATGTCAACATCGTAATTTTTCGATAAAAATTTTGACAGCAACAGAAGGTTGTTGATCTGTATATACATTGGCAGTGGCAATAGTGAAATTTCGATTAACCGACCTTTGTACGAATCCATATGCGGAATTATCCATTTAACTATACGCCTTTGCACATTTTCAAGCTCCGTAATAATGTATTTATTCAATCCATAACATAGACTTGCCTACGTGAGTATTGGTACGATCATAGATTTATATAAATCCAGTTTAGCTTTTTTTCCAAGAATCGATACGCTTCTTTTTAGCATACCTTATTTATATGCAAATTCCATTTTAAGTCACAGGAAAGCATGAGCCCCAAATCAGGTTGAGTTTCTTCTGTTTTAATCGATTAGTTTCCAAAAAGCAATCGTTTTTCGTTTTTGGACATTTTAATTAGGCAGCATTTATCTATATTGAAGGGCATGCTATTTCTAACGGTCCAGTCATACAACGCATTTAAATCACTTTGAATATCTATTGTGCTTAAACCCACGCCGAGAAATTTGGCGTCATCGGCAAAAAGTAGGGGAAACAATTGATCGCACATTTTCGGGAAGTCGTTAACAAAAACCAGAAAAAGTATGGGGCCCAAAATACTCCCTTGCGGGACACCGCTAGTGACTTGTATTGGTGACGAGTTTACTCCATTTATACGCAGGACTTGTACTCAATTTGTCAAGTATGATTCGATGAGTTTCAGTAGCTTGTTTCTGATGCCCGTTTCAAAAAGTTTTTTCAAAAGCATACCATGATCCGCTCTGTCAAAAAAGCTTTACTGTAGTCAGTAAAGATTATATCAACATCATGTTGACTTTCAATGCCCTGGTACACTTTTTGCAAAAAGATTATCAATTGGAGAATCGTTGATCGTCTTTTCCTGAAGCCGAACTGAGCTGCGTGAAAAAAAGAATAGTAATGATCGTATAGTCGTCTAAAAATAATCCTTTCTAGAATTTTCGAAGCTATTGACAACAGAGATACCGATCTGTAATTTGTAACATGGCATTTATCGCCTTTTTTAAATAATGGACTTATAATTGTTTGTGTCCAATCGTTTGGAAAAATGGTTGTTTGTAAAATTTTTCTGAATAACTGTGAAAGAGAATGAGAAAGAGTAATGCACAATTTTTTATACAATATTGGTGGAATTTCATCGGGTACTTTACTCTTGTTTATGTCCAAGTTCATGCAAATTTCAATTACTTCCTATTCGAAAAAATTTACAGTGGTAATCAATTTTACGCATTCTTTTCCATTACACCCTTCAAAAAATGTTGTCGATTTTGTATACACGGAAGAGAAGAAGATAGAAAATAGTTCTGATTTACCCTTGTCCGTCTCCTCCGATACAGACTCGTAAAACAATTTCCGCGGGAGATTTGACTTCCTAAATGCTTTGAAATACTTGAACAATCTTGACGATGCTCATTCTGCAGCCAACTCTTGTTCGTATTCAACTTTGTCAGTTCTGCACTGGTATCGACTAAATCAGCTAATGCTATGACCTTGTCATGAAATTCTGGAAAAGTCTTCCGCGCAGTTTTAATGCACTTTATGTAATGCGATGTTTTTTGCGTAATCCACGGTGGTAGCGACATTCTGTGCGCTGTTCTCCTTGGTACATTCTGAGATATTGCGGTATTGAGCCAGCTATACCATAATTCCAGAACTTTATTAGGATTCGACCAACAGAATGGTTCGAATTACGTGTTATTTAACGTTTCTCGTAGTTTTCCTAAATCGCCTTTACAGTAGCTATAAATCAAATCTTTGCAGCAATTTTGCTGCAACAAGGACGATATTTCAACGTTAAACTTAACTTTGATCGGGAAATGATTCGAGAGTATGCTAAAATAGTTATCCCTTTGAATGTCTTCAATATTCACTATCTGTATGTTTTTTCCCCACTAAAATCAAATCTAGAATACCAGTTGCAGCAGTTTATAAAGAAATTTTTTGTTGCAAACAATATCGATCAATTATATCAAGAAAATTATTTTCTTGCTCAACAGCAGATGAAAGACTCGTCCAGTTTATTGTTGGGAAATTGAAATCTCCGTATATTATTACTTCATCAAAATTATTTTTGATTTTTCGCAAACATTTAAACAAGTTTTCAATATCAGCGTTCGTGTAAGCGTAAGTACTGTTTGAGGGTGGTAAATAACAGCAAACAATAAGTATTTTCTTTTTACATAAACAAATCAGGCATGCAGTTACTGAACCATTATCTTCAAGATTCAATTTAATTTGCTCAGGGTTGATTTCATTTTTCACGCAAATCATAGTCCCACCGGGTGCTGTTGTTCCGGATTTTGCTTTTCTATTCGATAAAAAACATTGATATTGAGGTATAAAAAGTTCGCCTTCTGCAATATCGTCTGTGAGCCATGTTTCTGATATACATACAATATCAACAGCATTTACTAGCAGAAAATTCGAAAAAATTATCCTTCGATCCGATTTATATAAACTTCTAATGTTATAACACAACATGCTTAGTTCACCAGTTGAATTTTCTAGTCACTCATCAATTACTACTGCTTGGTTATTTAAATACAAAATTCCATTTTTGATATGAATGTAGTGTGGATCATGTTGGTTTGTATCTAATAACTCTCTTCTTTTTTTCAGAAGTGTTCGCTCTTTCATTTTTTCTTCTTTGTTTAAAGATTTTGAAACAAAAACTCGATAGGCCTTATCGTTGTATGTTGGTTCGAAAACTAATATTTTATCAACCGTATAAGTATTTAAGAACTTAACAAGAATTTGCCTTGCTCGAGGATTTTGTGAATTGTATTTGCCAAGCCTACGGAAACCGGATATATCTTCTTTTCCCACACCCAGATAATGTACAACATCAAATAACTGTTTTTCATCGTGTTCAAAAACTTCTTTTCGGTTTGGTTTTTAGGGGCATCGCTTATTTCAGGCAAACCGCGGAACCTTAACTCTAGTGAATATTCAGCAATATTTTTCACAATTGAAGAATACTTAGCTTCGGGTTCTATGGCAGTTGGTGTCAGTGCCGTCACAGCAGACTTAACACTCTCCACTGTGGCCTTCAAGTCTGCAATTTCCTTGGTGACCTCTGCGGAGATGTTGTTTTTCAGTAAGTTGCATTGTGCTGATGGAAGGCATGTGTCACAGAAAAACATCA